ACTTAAAACTCAAAACGGCATTGTTAATGAAGTAACATGCAGAGTACTAGGGCACCAGACATCAAGAGAGGTGATATACAATATGTATATTAATTGTTTGGTGCTGAAAATTGGTTTCAGCATTTTTCATCCTACTTCTGTTCTAGGTACTGAGGGATTTTATTGTGTTTTTTGTAACATTGTAGGAAATTAGAGGTTCTGAGTTGACAAATAATCCATTATACATTTTCCTATTTAATAAGAAATAGGTCCTTGCCTAATGATTTTGTGCATAACATCTGATTTTTGAAATGGACTATTGTCATTATTTGGAAGATGCCAGTATTTCCTTGGATTTTTTCAACCAAAACCCATCAACCAGCCTCTCCCTGGGCCTTTCCAATTTGGTCCTGCTTCCACAGTTCATTTGTTCTCAGTCCCTCACCTTGACTCAGGAGATCCCTCCGTGCCTCTATCTTTCAGCTCCCCCAATTCAGGTCCCTCAGGTCATCCCCTTCTCTTGCTTCTCATTCATTCAGCTCTTCTCTCTATCCTTTTCTTTATTTAACTTTGACCAAAGGGATACCTGATCATAATCTAAAAGGTCAAATGAGGCTAAAGGCTTATAGGAACAACAAAAGCAGTCCTGAACTCTTACCCTCTCATTCCTATCCCCAATGCAATGTGCAGAGAGGCAAATATTTTTAACTCTTTGCTCTTGCTTCAAATTACCTAATACTCTAAGTAAAACATTATCTCCTTATTGCTTCATTTTTAAGTTTAGTCATTGCTTCTCTTATGGTAAATAAGAATTTTAGTTCCCTTTTATGTACCTTTTCCTTACACTCTTCCAAATTTTTTAATAAAGTTACGCCAAAAACTTTATTTAAATCTGTATTTAGTGTGAGACTATTATTCAATTATGAGCCAAATTCTAAAAAATGATTGATTTCCTTTATAGTTTGTTCTCTTGTTTGTTTTTCCAATATTTAATAATTGCCTCATTTCTAGCATACCTAGCTAAGTCTTCCCACATCCTAAAACAGCTCTGTAAAGTCACTCTCAATCCATTGTTCTATATGACTGAATATATCAGATTTACCTGTTTGTTTTTTTAAACTAAGATTTGAGTTACATTTTCCTCTCCCTCTTTTCATTCTAATCTGTACTGTTTTTTTAAAGTGTTTTTTTAATTATTTAATTTTATTTATTCATTCATTTATTTTAATTCAACCAGACACACACACACACACACACACACACACAAAGAGAGAGAGAGAGAGAAAGCGAGAAAGCTGCAAGGTCCAGGACTTGAACCATGGTCGGCCATGTGGGAGTATCCAGCACCTTAACCACCACTCCATCTGCTGGTCCCCTAATCTGTACTGTTTTCTAACCTGCTAAATGCTATAGGTGTTACGTTGGGGTTTCCTTTAACCAATGTTCTGTGAATACCCAACTCCTCTCTCCAGCATTAGACTTCCCATTTCCTACTTTCGTGTCATCTACTTTCATGGCTAGTTCCCTAGTTTAGTGGACACCCTCTAGACTTTCAGACTATGCATGTTGAAAACTGAGGGATTAGAGAACATCTGGCATCTGAACAGTGCAATTCCCAGCTCCGATCCTCTAGTCAGCTCCAGCACACTGGTAACCTTGCCACCCTATACCCCATCTTGAATGTTGGTGGATCTTTCTCAGAGTGAAATCTTACTGGTCCAGCTACTCTATGAGTACCTCATGTACAATCAGCCTTTTAGTGACTCGCTCTTAAATATGATAGAGCATTGAAGGATAATCAGATTTTGGAAGAAAGTCGCTAATCAAAACAAGCAAGCAATCAAACAAACAAACAAATAAAACAAGAGCCCAGAAGAAATAGATAGTACTGAGAACAGAAGAATGCTTCAAAGATGACATGATATCCTCAGAGAAACTAAAGAAAAAAAAATTGAAAAAAGAATAGAGTGTTTTCTTTCTTTTTAACAAGTAGACAATAAGGAAAACTTTTGGATATTAAAAATATGATAGCAAAACAAACAAAAAAAATCAGTGAAATAATTGGAAGAATTCTCTGGTAGAGTGGGGGGTGGGGGGGGTGGGAGGAGAAGGAAAAAAAGAGAGAAGGAAATATGTGGATCACTTCCAGAAATCCAAATCTAAGAGCATGGAATAACAGAGAAGACAATCATTAGAGAAAAATTTAAGCAATAATATTTCTTCAAAGTGAAATGTAAATTCTCAGATTGAAACGGCTCCATTTCTCCCTCCTTTATGACATTTTGGTCACACACAGACATGCACCCAGTACTGCCAGGTCTGTCACTCAAACCATGTAATTGATTATGTGGGGTTCAGACTTCTTAACCACTATGCCACAGGATGGTCCCAATTCTATATCTTGTACTGCCTTAGGGTTCAGTGTCCCCAAATCTAGACAATTTCTCAGTCCTACAAAGGTGGAAGGAAAAGTCCCAGGTAAGAGAGCATTTTGAGGGTCTAACTTGTTCTCAAAGAGACTTTCTTTGTAAGTCTTTTTAGGGACTCAAAAGGATAATCAGAGCTTCAAAGAGCTGTGGGATGAGTCAGCTTGCTTTCCATCTACATCTTCCTCCACAAGCACTTGGCTCTGACCTTTCTCCATTCCTCTAAGTCATGCTCCATTCTTCCATCCACTTTCCATCTTTGTATTTTGTGGTTTAGGGTTATTTACATGGTGTTGGCTTATCAAAAAATAGAGTGTGTGCTTCCTTTTCTTATTTCCCTGTTGTTTGGAAATCCTTTCTGAGAAAAGAAGATTGAGTGAGAGACTAAGAGAGTATGTCTCTATTCTGACATCTTAAAACCAGAAGTCTTTAACCTTTCTTTTTCATAGGTCTTCTACCATACCATACCATAAATTAGTCTACCAGTAATATTCTGATTCATAAACATTGGCTTCCAAACTCTCTAGGTTATTAGTCATATTGTTTTGCTACTTTCAGGCATGCAATATTTCATCTATTAATGAATTAACAAGTTGCACATATATTTCCCATATACCATTAGCACTCGCTGTTGTCTGCAGCTAAATTGAGTAAACTGTGTATAACATAATAGTGAAGCCATTAGTCACAATCTCATGTGAGACTTAAGTGTCTTTAATAAATAGACTGGTTATTCCCCAGTTGCACCCCTGCCCCTGTATCCTCATACTTCTCTCTACCCCAGGGGCTGGCTGCTACAAACTACTCCCCTCATCCACTCCTATTCAGTGCCACTTCTGGCTATGTCATGCTTTCCCTGCCTTGCTACATTTCTGGCAGCATCACTGTACAGCCAAAGCTCCTGAAGTATAACGGCTTCAGCTTCACAATGGAACCCTTCCTAGCCAGTTCCCTTGACCTTGCTCATACCTCTGTAAATAGTTTCCTGTTAAATTCTCTTCAAAGTATATTCTACATTCCAATCTTTCTTACTGGGACACTAACTGATACATCAATAAAAAGAGGATTTTGAACTAGCTGGTCTCTAACGTGCCTTGAGTTCTTATGTTCTATGATTTTTCTAAGAGTCATGTATACAGTTGAACAGATCAGGAACTTTCTTTTAAGATTCTGTATAGCCAAATGAAATAAAAACAGAAACAAAAAAATATGATAATAATTAAAAAAAACCCTCTCTTGGGACCAGCAGGTGGCATAATGATTACATCACTGGACTCCCACATAGCCAACTGTGGTTTGAGTTCCAGACTTGGAGACTTGAAACTCATGCTGGACGCATATGCATGCTTGCCCAAGATCCCAAGAGGAGAATGGAGAAGAAGGGACTGCAGCGTGGCCAACCCCCCTGGGGGTGATTTTTGGCTTTCTGTTTCTCTGTCGCTCTTCATCACTTCGACATGTACCCTATAGCAAAAATCTCTTTTAAAAAAAAAAGAAAGCCTCTCCAAATAATTTTGCTTAGCCCCTAGGAAATGTAAGTACTGCTAGTATGACAGACTAGCAGGGAAAGCAGGATATGCACATTGTTCCCTTTATGCTATAGGCATGTGTGCTTCAAAGAGACTAAACATGTGAATGGCTTTCTCTTAGCACCATATCTGTTCCCAAAGCATCTGCAAACTTGGTAGTATATCTACATAAAGTAAAAAGAACCTATGATAACATTTTATGTGAACCAGAATGCCAACGCATTAATTTAAAGCTGGACAGACCTGCTCTGAACTACAAAATCAGATCTATGTGAACTGGTGAAGTTGAAGCTTTCAGACCTCTTAGAGACTTTATATTTCCTTTAAATAAGCATTTCCTCTTTTTAATACAATATTCTTTACGTTTATTTCAGCCACTAATCTGCTGGCATAAACAGATATGCTGTTCAGTTCCTTTATTACCTATTCTTTGTTTTCTTTACTCACTGCTTGTCAAATATTTAAAGTTTTAGGTGAAAATAAGCAGGCCTAATTATGAGGCCCAGAAACTCTTACTCTAAATTTCACTTGTTAATGAGGTCATCTAAAAAGATGTGCATGCACTGAAACTCCACTTAACTCAAGAATATTTTAATACAGCTATTCACACTCGGTACACTCACTGTTTGGAGGGTATCAGCTACTTTAGAGTGATTTAACACAAACAGGACTTGTTAAGTGACAATGCTTGCCTATGTCTGCAGTTCTATCAGGTAAGACAAAGTTTTTCAATCAAGAAAGGCATTCTGATTTTGAGATTTGAATGCAAATGCCTTTATTTATTTACTTGTTTGTTTAATTATCAGAGGGTACATGTACTAGGGAGAACCCCCCCCCCAAATGGGGCATGGCCACAATCCCTTCTCCATTTCTCCATCCTCTCAAGATTTTGAGTATGCATACACACGTGCCTAGCATATATTTCAGGCTCTTGGAGCTGGGATTAGAAACACAGTCAGCCATGTGGGATCTGGCTCACTTAACCACCAAGCAATGGGGCCTGCCTTGCAAACATCTTTACATAGACAGGGCTAAGTGAAATTTACTATCAAAGGTAGTTAGTTACCTTGGATAGCTTCATTCCTAGCACTGTGAGTGTTACCAAGCCAGCACAACAGACCAAAGCACTTGAACTGGAGAGGCCAGAACTTGGTGGGATAGTTCCATCTACCAGGCAGTTCATTCCAGTCAGGTTACTAAGACCAAAGTGTTCCTAGGAATATAAAGAAAAACAACAATGGAGTTCAGTGTTAGATTCAAGGAGTAATGAAAACTTCCTTCATTTCCCAGAGAACAAAAGCCTATTGACAGACTTTGATATTCATAAAAATTAACTATACAGTTCAATTAAGTTCAGGTTGTAAGTGAAATTTTATTTAATGGCTCCTAGAGCTATAGGGTAAGAAATTGTGACGATTATTTTTCATTTTTACTTTGTCAACAAAAAGCTACATTTCCTAAAACTGCCTGGAATGTTCTTTTTCTTGAATATTAATTGATTTGAACAAATGAAAAATATATAAAACAACTACAATTCAACTTACCAAGTAGCTATTTTTTAAATACAGTTATCACCAAGGTAAATTAAATCTCTGTATAACACATTTCCAGCACTAAAAATAAGTCTAACTTCTAAGCAATAGGTTGTTTCTATGGAGTATCTCTGAAGAAAAAGAGTTCTAAACTTTCTCAGTTCTATTTTGCTTAAGGGAAAATCTAAGAGTTCTCAGTTTTGTTTTACTTATAGAAAAGATCAGATTAAGAGATTTTCACAAGATCACACACAGAGAGCTGATAATAAGAGAAGGCCTCTGATTCCTGGTTGAAAACTGCAGTTAAAAAGCTGGGACAGCATACTGTAGACCAGCAGATAGAATGAGGATTTTTTTTTTTTTTTTTTTTTTGAGAGAGAGATTTTTGCTATATGGAGCATATGCTCACTGGAGAGACAGAGAGATGGAAAGCGAGAAATCACCCCCCAAGGGGTTGACCATGCTGCTTCTCCTCCATTCTCCTCTCTGGGTCTTGGGCACACATGCACATGCACCCAGAGTGAGGTTTAAGCCACCAGATCCAGGACTCATACTGCAGTCAACTACCTGGGAGTCCAGCAATGTAACCATTTAGGCCTGGTCCCGAAACATACATATTTTCATAAGAATTTTGGGACCAGCCATTGGCATAATGCCTATGTTGCTGGACTCCCATGTAGTCAACTGTGGTTCGAGTCTCAGACCTGGTGGCTTAAACTCATGCTGGGCATGTGCGTGTCTCTCTCTTTCTGATGAGTGCATGCGCCCTATAGCAAAAAGCTCTCAAAAAAAAAAAAAAAGAAAGAAAGAAAGAAAGAAAGAAAAGAAAACAAAAAACAAAACAAAAACAAAAAATTTATAGGTACAATTTACAATTTATGATAGCTTTAAAGATATCCAGGTTGGGGCCAGTAGGTGGCATGGTGGTTGAGGTCACTGGATTCCCACAAAGTCAACTGCAGTTCAAGTCCCAAACCTGGTAGCTTGCTTTCTCACCTTCACTTTCACTCTCTCTTTGTCTCTCTCTGGTCAAATTAAAAAATAATAATAACAAATAGAATTGAATAAATAAATAATTCTTTGAAAAATAAATAAATAAAGATATCCAGATTAAAATTCAGCCACAACAGAGAATACAGATTCTCAACAAGACAGGGAAACTGCTTCTACAAATAGGAAAGATAAAAGAAGTAACCAGACTCTGATTTAAAGATGGAGGTATAGCAGATGGCATGGTGGTTAGAGGTGGCTGGATTCCCACATGGCCAACTACTGTTGGAGTCCTGGACCTGTCAGCTTGAAAATCATGCCAGGCATGCCCAAGATCCCAGGAAAAAGTAAAGGAGAAGGGATTAGAGTGTGGCCATCCCTATGAGGGTGACTTCTCACTTTCCCTGTCTCTGTCTCTCTCTGGTGAGTGTACACACTCTACGGCAAAAACCTAAAAATAATTAATTTTTTTAAAAAGGTGGAAAACTCCAGTACACTACATGAATATCCAAGACTAGAATACTTTGAATGATAACATAAGCTTTGTAGTTTGATAAATTCAAGGCTACTTCTTCCTCAGGAAATGGTACCATCCTCTGCAAATTACTCAAACGACTCAAGACTAAAAATCAAATGCTACTATATTATCTAATTATCCATTTCATCATACATATTATTCTAAGGAGAAATTTCAATAAGCTTGGAATAACCAAAGTAATAACAAAACTCTACAAATAAAAGACTTGTAATTTTTTTTTGTTCTTTTTTCCTAGCTGGCAAAACTCATATACCACAAAAGAAAAGATTCAGTTGGATGTACTTCTTGATTTCAAGTCATCTAAAAATTTCCTTCCAGAAATACAAACAAATTATAAACTGAAACACTGCTGATGCCAATGCTCTTTCATACAGAACATCAGACAGTTTAAAAAAAAAAAAGAAAAAACTTTGAAGAGTACTATATATTTAACCATAAACTGATCTACAGTGTGTCTTGAATGTGAATCATACTTACAACTTTATCACGCAATGTTTAAATCAAAATCTACAACAGACTCACATACACAGATGTGTTGTGCCAAATTCTGTAACAGCCCTATCCCAAAAGGATAACATGTTCAATTTAATATAAACAGATTATCCTCTGGAACTTTCTAGTATTTGAATCTGAAGGTTTTTGAACAGACTAACATTTAAATTACTTTTCTGCCAAAAGTTCACTGTACCAAACCAGCTTTTGCACATAAATTGTCAAACCAAAGAAGAAAGCTTTAAGACTTAAAATGCTCAAAAACAACACAAAGCAACATGCATTATGTAGGCCACTTTGCCCATATACTACAAAAAGGCATATTGTTATAGGGAAGATCAAATTGCATATGCCAGGCAAATGCTTCCAAATACTGTAATTCCCACTAATGCATATGACAAGCCAGATGATTTGAAGATTTAAAACCTGCCAATAACTTCTCCCGTAAGTAATTACCATGTGTCTGGGAAAAACAAAACATAAATACACAAACATCAAAGAAAGAAATGAATGTATAAATTCTCACACCAGACCACCACAGTTAAAACACAGGACTAAGCATCAATAATATATCTGATACCTTTCTCTAATGGATATGCCACTGTGTTCTAGGCTACTTATGACAATCCGAGATGGGACCAACAGGTAGTAAGGAATAAAAACTCTCTAAAACATAGCTTAGTTTGTTTGTTTGCATTGTGCTCAAAAGTCAAAATCCACCTCTTAATGTCCATTATCTATATGATTCTATACAGGAGTCACCATACCTAAAATAATTAATGAAATATCAAAGTGGCTCTAAAAATAGCAAATGTAGATATTCTTCTTATCCTTCATATTTCTTAAATTATGAGATAAAGAGGAAACATTTCATTTTCTTGTTCTTTATTATTATTGCCAGAAGGTATGTGTGCTCATTAGAGAGAAAGGAAAGAGAGAGAGAGAATGAGAAAGCATCCCCCAGTGAACTGTGGTCATGCCACCATCCTTTTTCTTCCATTTCTCCATCCTGTCAGGATTTGGGGAACACATACACATGTGCCCAGTGTGTTTTTCAAGCTACCAGGCCAGGACTAGAACCAAGGGCAGTCATGTAGGGTCCACCTTACTATGCACAGCACTTAGTCACTATGTTATGAGGTTGTGGCCTTGTTGTTCTTGTAAATGGCATCAGAGCTTTTCAAGGTTAATGTGATTTCTCTAGGAAAATACTTGTACTAATGCATTTCACCATATCTTTGTTGTTTTTGTTTTTGTTTTTTTTTAAGCTCTAGCTGAAGTAGTAAAAACAGTACTAGTTACCATTTGTTGAATGCCTACTAGTATCAACACTGTAATCCTTACTACACCTTTTTGTCAGGATAGCAATGACATCATTTTACAGATAATGAATTTCAGACTTAAGTTAAATTAACCTGAACAAAGTCTTCTAATCCCAAATATCTCACCGATATCTCAGTATGGATAGCAGTTTAGTAATCTGATTTGAAATAAAGCAAATATTCATAAGAAGATAAGAGGACAGAAAACCCTTTAAACAAGACCCTTCTGAAATGTTACTTTTTGAACAGTGTTTCCTAAAGTGCTTAAAAATGTTAACTTTATTTAAGAAAAATTCTCCTAATTCAAATAAAGTTACAATTTAAGAAAAAAAAAAAGTTACATTAACACAGCTGGGTAGAGCTCGCAGTTAAACCCAGGACTGTCCAGTTCTAAATCCTATTATAGTATGTTTACTCCTGTATATCCCAAAAACAAAATGTAAATAATATTCTAGAACATATCCTCAAAAGAAAACGTGAACAAGAATTTTAAAATCAAACAGATGTTTGTTAGATGCACCTGAATTATGAACAGCCAGCTACATGAAAGACCACTACTGCCCCCTGTGAGCATCACCCAGAAACACCACATCTTTCCTAGTCTTCGAAACACATCGTTAGCAAAACAGAACAAAAATACCATTTGTACTAAAAAGAGACAAAAAGATAAATCCAGCATAATATATACCAAAATCTCAATTGCTAGTAGGTGCTTTATAAGCCAATTTACCTGAATTCCTTTAAATCCACATAAGAAATAGTTGTGCCACAGAGGCTTGGTGTTGTCGATCTGAATGCTATTAGCACTAGTTCTGAAGTCTCTGCAAAAACAAAAGGCACAATTAATTTGTCTGCAGGCCTATGCTAAAATTAGTGGCTAACTGCTGCCATCTTGTGCCGAGACAGTGATACTGGAATCTTCTTATCCAATTACATCCTGAATGTGTGTACTTTACAGTCTACCCCAAAGGCAGATTTCCAGCTGTTGAAAGTTAAAAGAGAAAGTTGAAAGGGACTTATTAACTAAACTATCTTCAAATGACCCTTTTAATTTCCTGAAATGGAGAGGAACTAATATATTTTAGCATAATCTACAAACATTTTATTTTCATATGCTTATCCTCTGATAAATGTGCTAAGTGGAGGTGTGCTTATCTGCTGTTTGGCACACGCCCAGAAAGAGAAGTTCTCAAAGTCATCTTTCCTCATACTCTCTGCCACTCATCCAGTTTTACCATCTTCACAGTTTAAGAAGGAACAAACAAAACAAATAACAGTTCTAATGGATCATAACCCATTGTACAATAAGATTTCATGAGTCTACACTAATGGATTATTAACAAATGAATTAATAAAAGAAGGGGAAACTCATTCTTACAGTAAAATGCCAACTAACAGATGTAAAAGAAATGATGGAAATTTAAAAAATCACTACATGGCAAACACCATGATCATTTTTTCAGGAAGAAAGCTATTGATGAATGCTAAAATTGAAAAGCAAAATTTGATGAGAAAAAAGATATTTACACAGAGTCTAAGTCTGTTCCCCATCAAATATTTATTTACAGAAGTAAAAAAATAGTAGTTTGGTGGTAGAGAAATCTGGTACACACTACCTTAACATCACCAGTAAAAGGACAGCAGGTGCCTCCTTGATGCAATGCACTGTGGTACATCATGGAGTTGTGGAAATTTTTGTACTATTTTTGTGACTTCTCTGTAAGTCAAAAATATTTCAAAATGAAAAGCAGGTATATTTGTTCCAAAATCAGCCAAAGGGCAAAGTATGTGAAATGAGGAAGGAGGCTGGTTTAAAGAAAGGAGGTGAGAGTGAGGCAGCTTTCCCCATAGTGACTGAGTGTTCTCCACTTAATTAACTATAAATACCTGTCATGTGCCAGTCATTGTAGTAGGCACCTCCAATGCATTATCTTAATTCAGTAATATGAATATCTCCATCAAAAGATATTTAATGACTAACGACTTAAGTGTGCAAAACATGCAGAGGAAAATAAAGTTTGTCTTTAAGAATTTGTAATCTAGCCAAGATGACATGAACACAAATAACTACCAGACGATAATGTCAAGTGACAATATCTAATACTGGAAGGAATATGAAGCTGGGAGAATATTGTTTCTAAAGACAGCACTGGAAGGGAGAGAAAAATCTCCAAGGCTCAGAGAGGTCTAGTGACTTCCTAAGGTCACATAATCTGACTCCAAATAATAAACACTTAATTCTACTATTATCCACATAAATTAAAATATGTTGACCATAATCAATAAAGGGTCACAAAATTTTGAAGGAGCAAAGTTATATTAAAAGTATCACAAGTTCTGTTCCTAGCGACCACTACCTACCTTGGTAATTCACCTCTGCTTCGTTAATTTAAACTTCATGCTGTTGTATGACTACTCCTGGGATTACTTTCCAAATATCCTATCATCATTGAAATATGTCTCAGGTTCCATTTTTGTACCAAAAAAAAAAAAAAACTAACACTACATCACTGTTAATAAATGTGAGTAAATAAATTTGAGTAAACCAGTATAAAATATTTTGCACCCATTTTTAAATGTTCACAAACAATGACACACAAATGTGTTTGAAATAATCTATGGTTCTTTAAAGGGTACAAAATTTGCATCATATATATTATTAACCAAGAAAAATGAATAGAAAAAATATATGTCCTATATAACTAAGTTCTACTGAAAAGTAAGGAATTTCTATATATTTCTCAATCTGGTATAGGGTCTTAAAAAATATTTATTAAAGAAATGAATATTATTACAGGCAACTGATCCAATGAACAATAACCCAAAAATATAAAGGGTCATCTCTATGCAAAAATCTTTCTTTCATAATTAGCAAATCAAATCTATCAAGATACTTTATAAGCAAGTAAGGCTTATTTGCTTACAGAGATGCAAAGATGGTTCAATATTAGAAAACTCTTTAGAGTAATTTACCATTTTAAGATAATAATTATAATAATAACAATACCATATGTTCTCACTAATATGTAGAAGCTAAACAAGCTAAACAGAACAGGAGTTATAGAGGCTGGAAAGAAGGGTGTATAAAGAGATTGGTTAATGGGTACCAAATTACTGTTAGATGTGAGGAATAAATTCTAGTCTTCTTAAGTAGAGAGATTGTAGTTAAAAATAATTTCTTGTACATCTTAAAATAGCTAGGGCCAGTCAGTAGTATGGTGGGTAATGCACCTGGGTCCCACATACTGACTACACAGTTTGATTCCTGGCCCCAGTGGCTTGAAACACACACCAGGCACATGTGCATGGGTGCCTAAAATCCTGAAAAGAGAATGTAGGAGAAGGGGTAGTGGCATGTTCATCCTGCCCCTCCAGGAGCTGCTTTCTCACTTTCCCTCCCGCTTGCCTCTCTGGCAAGTGCACATGCTGTGACAGCAATTTTTTTTAAAAAAATAGCTAGGATTTTAAATGTTTCCAGCACAAAGAAATGGGGAAAAAATGATAAGTGTGTGAGAGGCAATGGATATTGCCTGATTTGAATATTACACATTATATATAAAAAATCATGCTGTGTTCCATAAATGTATATAATTATTATGAGTCAATGAATTTATTTTTTTGGAGAGGTTTTTGCTATAGGGCGCATGCGCTTGCCAGAAAGACAGAGAGAGGCAGAGAGATAGAAAGCGAGAAATCTCCCCCCAGGGGCATGGCCACACCGCAATCCCTTCTCCTCCATTCTCCTCTCGGGATCTTGGACACACACGCACACACGCCTGGCGTGAGTTTAAGCCACCAGGGTCAGAACTCAAACCATGGTCGGCTACATGAGAGTTTGGCGACATAGCCATTATGCTAACTGCTGGTCCCAGAGTCAATTAAAATTTTTAACAAACTGATACTCCATGCTGGATAGACATTTAATAAAACTCAATACCCCTTAATGAATTTTTTAACCTTAGCAAATTACTTTTAAAAAATTTGCTTGAGTTTTAAAGCATATGTTCTAGAAACTTGCATCTATTATGTACCAGACTCTGTTTGACACGGAGTCTAGAGTGCTGAAGAGGAGAAGCACCAGTGTCTGCAGTCACAAAGTTCATCATATAATATACTGGAGTATAGAGGTAAGTAAACAGATAGTGATCGTACAACACAGTAAAATGTTATGTCAGATAATGATAGTACAGCATGGTAAAATGTTATGTCGAGATAATTTGAGGGTGTCATAGTAACAGGAAAGGCACCAGACCTGACTTTACTAAAGACCATTACCTCAATAGATGATAAATACCTTCTGGGCAAAGACAAGAGTTATTTATATTTTTGTATCGCCCAGAATCTAAAGCAATGTCTAGCATATGGTAGGTCTTCAGTAAACATTTCATAAATAAATGAACCAAATGAACAAACATCAAATTGTAGCCTTAGGATCTTTTAAATATCAGGTACAAATTTCAGTAAGTTAAATGATTTATTCTAAATTTGGTGTCTCCTAAAGAATTCATTCAGGCATAAACAGAACACCACCACCCCCTCCACACATAAACACACACTCACAAACACACCACATTAGCAATCCTAAATACTCACGGATACAAGGGATTTGTATTGGCCAGTTGGAGAGTGTGAGTTTTTACAGGTTCAACAGCTATTAACATATCTTGCTCTACAGCCATAGGAAGAACAGAATATCCACAGTAATCTATATGCTCTCCTAGGAAAAAGAAAAGCATTTTTCATCACTGTTAGCACATAAAATAAACAAACCGCAAGTAAGTAGACATACAAGAAAATATTAACAACAAGCCAGGTTGTAATAGAAAATAAAATACTACAAACAGAGTGATTCCATTTTCTTTTTCCCCCCACACACATGGGAGCCAGGAATTTCTGCTAGCCATAAGTATATTAGTTATTAATTTATGACAAATGTTTGGGAACCAGCAGTTAGCGTAATGGCTATGTCGCTGGACTCCCACGTAGTCGACCGCGGTTCATGTCCCGGACCCGGTGGCTTAAAATTCACACCGGGCACGTGTGCGTGCGTGCCCAAGATCCCGAGAGGAGAATGGAGAAGAGATTGCGGCATGACCATCCCCCCTGGGGGGTGATTTCTCGCTTTCTGTCTCTATGTCTCTCTCTCTGTCTGTCTGGCGAGCGCATGCGCCTTATAGCGAAAAACTCTCAAAAAAAAAAAAAAAGTTTTACTTGCTAGAATCTTAAGGATGAGCCCTTTTCATGACTGGAACCCCTACTTAATAACAGTAGTTCCTAGAAAACCCCTAAAAACTCCTCGCATTCTGCTAGGCACAATGCAAAAGCAATCCTATGTTTAAGAACTGCATCATAATTGCCAATGGACTGTAAATTCTGTGAGGAGGGGCTATGCCTCTTATTCTCAACACAGTTACCATGCCTGCCACACAGAAGATACACAACAAATTTATTAAATGGAGGGGCCAGCGGGTGGTGTGATGGTCAAGGACACTTGACTCCCACATGGACAACTGTGGTTCAAGTCCCGGACCTAGTGGCTTACTTTCTCACTTTCCCTCTCCCTCTCATTCTGTTCCTCTCTGGTCAAATTTAAATAAATAAATAAAATAATTCCTTAAAAAATGTTTTCTATCTGGGAACCAGCAATTAGCGTAATGGCTATGTCGCTGGATTCCCACGTAGTCAACCGCGGTTCGTGCCCCAGACCCGGTGGCTTAAAACTCACGCCGGGCGCGTGTGCGTGCGTGCCCAAGATCCCGAGAGGAGAATGGAGGAGAAGGGATTGAGGCGTGACCATCCCGAGTGTATAAAAGACCTCCTTTTGGTAACATCTCAAAGGCATTTTTTTCTGTATTCCATTTGACTTATCTGTAGTACTTGTAACATACCTCTTTCTTTATTTTTTTTTTAAGAGGTTTTTGCTATAGGGCGCGTGCACTCGCCAGAAAGACAGAGAGAGATAGAGAGATAGAAAGCGAGAAATCACCCCCCAGGGGGGATGGCCACACCATAATCCCTTCTCCATTCTCCTCTCGAGATCTTGGGCACACACACACACACACGTGCCCGGCGTGAGTTTAAGCCATCAAGTCCGGGACTCGAACAGTGGTCGACTACATGGGAGTTCAGCCACATAGCCACTATGCTAACTGTTGGTCCCACATGCCTCTTTCTTGATAATCTTTTTTTCCCTTGGCTTACAAGATACCATTTGAGATGGTTAATGTTAGCTGTTGACTTGACTGAATTAAGGAATTTTTAGATAGCTGGTGTGTCCACAGAGTGCTTCCAGACGAGACTGGCAAGAGTCAACAGACTGGGTAGAGAAGATGTGCTCCCTGTGTGTGTAGGCACCATCCAATCTAGGGAGGTTCAGACAGGATAAAAAAGTAAGGGATAGGCAAACTCTTATTCTCTCTTTCTCTCCTTTTCCCTTTGCCTCCCTCCCTCCTTCTCTCTCTCTAGATCTGGGACACTTTTTTTCTCCTGGTCTTGGACATCAGAACTGCAGGTTCTCTGGCCTTTGGACTCTAGGACTTGCACTAGCAGCGCACCAGGTTCTCAGACCTTCAGTCTTGGACTGACAGTTACACCATCGGCTTTCCTGGTTCTGCGGCTTTGAACTTGGACTGTGCCACGTTACTGCTTTTCCTGGTTTTCCAGCTTAAAGACAGCACGTAGTAGGACTTCTCAGCCTCCATCACCACGTGAGTCAATTCCTCTAAAAAATCCTCTCTCATATGTCTACTTATAGATCCTACTGGTTCTGTTTCTCTGGCAAGCCCTGAGTAATACACCATTCCTTCCTGATTTTCTTTCTTGTCTGGCCTTTCATTCTTACTCTCTCTGTGGGACCTATTTCTCTGCTCTTCTGTTAAATGTTACTGTTTGTGAGGTTCCCATAATCTATTCTACTAGCTTCAATTATCAGTTGCATGCCCAATCTTTATCTCTAACTCCACATTTCTCTCAATGAGCTTCAGGTGCACATATTCAAATGCTCCTCTTGGATATTCGAAGGCTTTTAAAAGTAAAAAACAGGCTCATAGTATTCTCCAATTCAACTCTTCTCCCAGTATTCCCCAGCTTGGAAAACAGTACCACAATCTACTCAGTTACTCAAATGTGGAGTTCATCATTTAGTCCTGCCTTCTCCAACAATAACAACCAAAAAGTAAGAAAAAGTCACATACAATTGATCACTGACTCTATCACCTTCTCTCCATCTCCATTCCTTTCTCTATCCGACCAACAATCCCCACATCACAATCCAGCCATATTGAGTTACCTTCAAATTCAAGAATTGGTCAAACTTGTATTTGACTTCCAGTTATTGTATCTTTCTCCTCCAAATAGAATGCTTTCCCCTTTTCCACACTCTGTTCTTTACCCAGATCATTTCCTATCAGTTAGAAGTCTAAGCTTACAAGATTCATCCCCCTGGAAAAGACCTCACTACCTCCCATCTGTCAATAGGTGAACGCTACAATAGTATTCCGTGAATAAGCCACATTTGAATCACTTTCCCACTTTTCCTGCCTCTGCATAAAGTACAGCCTAATATAGTTGCTTCTTTATATTTGTGTATGTATGTATGTATGTATGTATGTATTTGTCATGATTTTCAAGCCGCCCAGCCCAGGACTCAAACCACAGTGGGCTATGTGGGAATCTTAACCACCATGCCACCTGCTGGTCCTAGCTTCTTTAACCACAAAGATATAGGTGGAATCATTTCGATTAGGGGAGGAAACTAGACATGACATCACTAGCCTTGAGGGAAAGTTCAGTTGAAAAAATAAATTCATGAAATGGCCCAAAACTAAGAAAATGTTCATTTGTGAGAACTCTACCCAAATAAGATAAAATTTCCTCATGAATCTAAAACAGGAAGTGTAAAGTAGATATGGCTGACATCAGCAGAAACCGAAGTAGAAGGATACACAAAAATGTAAACAGAGTTCAATAAGGATCACAAAACAAGGGCACTATTTATTAGACATCAGAAAGCAAGAGAAAATATACAGAATAGAGGGTTACAGGAATGTTTGGTAGTGTGAAGAAAAGTAAGAAATTGTACAAAGAGAAGCAAAGGCAGAGTGAACAATTAACCACCTAACAGTAGAGACCTAGAATGAAGATCCTGTTGTACTTTGGCTCCTGTTCTTATTCATTCTCTCCCTCATGATCACATATGCACAAAAAGTAATCCCCTTAACTTGAACTGGCCAAACGAATCCTTTTGCTTTAGTTGGGTTCTTGTAATTGGAAAGAAAGAAAAAAAAAAAAAAGAAAAAGAAAAAAGAACTAACACCAGACTGATTCCTTGCAACATCCTTCAGATAAGACATTAAACCAAACTGTAGTTTAGCAAAGCAAGCCTATGGTCAAATGCTACGTTTATTGCACAAAGCTTTCTAATGGTCTGGCTTAATGCAAAAATTAACATTAGAGTAAAACTATCTAAAAGAATAAGCAGACTATCATAACTTTTGAGCCATCATTCAAGGCAGGGTTTTATTAACAGTTTTTTTCAAATGGCCAGAAACTAGGCATATGGACCAGGTGATGGGGTAAAGATATTCTAGACAGAGGAAAGGGCATAAGGAAAGGTAAATATGGAATGAAAAATAGGTATAAGATTTAACTCAACTCAACAAATATTAACTAAATACACCTGAAATAAGCAAACACATAAATGAGATAGGTATCTTTCAATGTTTTAAAGATTAGCTGGAAGCCACACACCCTGGATCTGCAAAGGAATCGGCCACCCAGGCTGCTCCCAAGTACCAGGCACCTGAGGGATGTTCAAGGAATGACTCCAAGGCAGTTTCTCTTCCCGAATTGCCGTCACAGTCTGATAGAATGTTCTAGAATGGTGGAAAAGTTCAATATCTGTGCTGTCTAATATAGTAATCACTAGCCACATGTGGCTACTGAGTATTGAAATGTAGCTGGTGCAACTTCATTTAAATATTCTTAAATAGGCACATGTGGCTAGTGTTTACTGTAATAGACGGTACAGACTATACGTTAGCCTTTGCTAAAGAAAAAATGCTCCTCTATATCTTCAAAAAGGGGATAGCAAGTGATATCGTGGACAATATTCTCAATGCTATCTCTACAATAACCTCCATACCAGGTCACATAGAGTTATATCTAAATAACGAAAAAGAACAAGTTGGTGAAAACAGCTCTAGGTATGTAGTGCATGTATTTCTGAAATAGAGTTTAATCTGGGATAAATCTAGGAGCTAATAAAATAGGTTCTACATGTTCTCAAAATGATGCTTCATAAATTACATTTGTATAAATAAAGTTTTTAATGAAAATTGAAATGGTAACAGTCTTGCTGATCAAAAGTTTGAATACTTGGGACCAGCAGGTGGCAGTTAAGGCACTGAATTCCCACATGGCCAACCAAGGTTAAAGTCCTGGACCTGGCAGCTTGCTTTCTCACTCTTCCTCTCTGTCTTTCTCTGACAAAATTCATGTGAAAATAATAATTAATAAGTAAGTTAATTAATTAATTAATTCTTTAAAAAATAAGTATGAATACTTGTAAATTCAATATTCTTTTGTGGAAAATGGGCAATTTACTAAGCCCCATGAAAGAGAGTACATGTTTTATTCTCCCTTCTATCACCAAAAGAAAAAAATTTATAAAATATGAAAATGGTTAAATGAATAATGCTTTCTCACCTAGTATTTGGTTTTAATCAAACCACTGACTATAATAGTGAAAAACTGGAAATAACTACAATAAAAGAAAATTGCTAAGTAAATTATAAATTATCAACTCAGCAAACTATTACGAAATAATTAAAATAATAATTATTAACATTATATGAAAATATGGGGACATTTGTGATACAGTAAAAGAAAAACAAGAAAATATGTAATCTAATTATAACTATATCAATTATTGTATACAAGGAGACTTTTGTTCACTAAAAATGGAATTGAAGTAAGAGTTTATTTCAGTTCAAGAAAAATTTTTAAATCCATGCATAGATATTTGTTACAATGTGTATTTTCCATAAATATTTTTAAAGAGCCCACATATATGAACATGGAAAGATAGTAGACAAAATGTTTTAAGGCAGTGTTATTTACTAGTAGAAGGTAATAAAACTCAAAGTACTTCACAGGATAAACAAAAGAAAACTAGATCTACAAAATCTGCAAGATTTGGAACACATTTTTTTTTCTTTTAAACTTTTTTTTTTCCTAGAGAGCACATTGGCTTGCCGGAAACAGAGACTGGGAGAGAAGGAAAGTGAGAAATCACACCCAAGCGGAGATGGCCACGCCCCAGTCCCTTCTCTACTCTCCTCTTGGGATTTTGAGCATGCATATGCACCCAGCATATTTTTATTTTTATTTTTATTTTTTTTATTTTCTAAATTTTGCCATAGGGTGCATGCACTCACCAGAGAGATAGGGAGAGACAGAGAGAGAGAAAGTAAGAAATCATACTCCAGGAGAGATGGCTGTGAAGCAATCCCTTCTCTATTCTCCTCTTAGAATTTTGAGCATACATGTACATGCACCCAGCATGAATTTTCAAACCGTTGAGTCTGCACTCAAACTGTAAAATAGGCCATGTGAAATCCACCCTAACCACTGTGCCACCTGCAGGCCCCCAGCAAGTTTTGCAAGTTGCAGTGTCTGGGACTTGAACCACAGAGTTAGCTATGTAGGATTCAATGCCTTAACTACCATACCATTCCAGGATGGCCCTGGACCACGCTTTTTAAAAGGAAGGGATTAAGGGAACCAGCAGTTAGCGTAATGGCTATGTCACTGGACTCCCACGTAGTCGACTGAGGTTCACATCCCGGACCCGGTGGCTTAAAATTCACGCCGGGCGCGTGTGCGTGCATGCCCAAGATCCCGAGAGGAGAATGGAGGAGAAGGGATTGCAGCGTGACCATCCCCTCTGGGGGGTGATTTCTCGCTTTCTGTCTCTATGTCTCTCTCTGTCTGTCTGGCGAGCACACGCGCCCTATAGTGAAAATCTCTTCAAAAAAAAGGAAGGGATTAAAAGGTTTCTTAGTGAGGCCAGCAGGTAGTGTGTTGTTAGTTGAGTCACTGAACTCCCACAAGGTCGACCACAGTTCAAATCCCAGACCTGGCAGCTTGCTTGCTCACTTTCCCTCTGTCTCTCTCTCTCTCTCTGGTGAGTGTGCATGCCCTATAGCAAATTGGAAAATAATAATAATAATAATAAATAAATCTTTAAAACAAAGAAAGGTTTCTTAGTGTTTCACTAAGCCAATGAGTGCATATAAAAGTATCACTATTACTCAGGTCCCAGACCCAGCGGCTTAAACTCACGTCAGGCGCATGTGTGTGCGTGCCCAAGATCCCGAGAGGAGAATGGAGGACAAGGAATTGCGGCATGACCATCCCCCCGGGGGGTGATTTCTCACTTTCTGTCTCTCTGTCTCTGTCTGATGAGCACACGCGCCCTATAGCCAAAACCTCTCCAAAAAAAAAAAAGGAAACTTACACTTTTTTTTTTTAATGTACAAAATTAGCTTTAAGGGGACCAGCAGTTTGCGTAATGGCTATGTCGCTGGACTCCCACGTAGTCGACCGCAGTTCAAGTCCTGGACTCGGTGGCTTGAACTCATGCCAGGCACATGTGCGTGCATGCCCAAGATCCCAAGAGGAGAATGGAGGAAAAGGGATTGCAGCATGGCCATCTCCCCTAGAGGGTGATTTCTCACTTTCTATCTCTCTGTCTCTGTCTTTCTGGCGAGCACACATGCCCTATAGTGAAAACTTCTCAAAAAAAAAAAAGGAAAAAAAAATTAGCATTAAAATATTGGGAAAAATGAATGTGTTCCTTATGTAAAAGCATATCTTAATACTGTAGATATAGGTAAAATATTCTATTTCTTAAGGGAAAAAAATTAGAAGGAACTTTTAAAATACCTATTATGTTGACTCTTCCTGGTGCTCGAACATAAAATTTTGGGATGGATCCAAACTTAGAGTTAAACATCTCCTTTAACTTCAGCAATCTGAAACAAGAGTGGAATTATTTCAGAATATCATTCAGGGATGAACCTGTAAACTAGCAGTTAAGAGAGCCAGTCCCACACCAACTGCAGTTTGGGTCCTGGCTGGTGGTTTGAAAAACACGTTGGGTATGTGTGTGTTTGTGCCCAAATTCTATGGAAAAATGGAGGAAGAGAGATTGTGATGTGACCATGCCCCACTGGAGGGTTCTCTCTTGTTCTCTCTCTCCCTCTCTCTTTCTCTCTCTCTCTCTGGAGAGCACACTCACACTCTGGCAATAAATTTAAAATATATATTTATATATAATAGAAAATCCATAAAATACACTCATGCTTTATATATTTGCCACCATTAATTATTCCTAATAAATAAATAAATAAAAGTAAAATCTTCTAGTGATATACTTCCTTGAAAATCCCAAAACAATATTGCAATGGCCCAAGTAGCATAAGAGTATAGCTAAGCACACTGAAGAAGTTAAAAATTAAGATAGAGGGGCCAGCGGGTGGTATGGTGGTTAAGGAGCTGGACTTGAGGTGGCTGACTGTGGTTCAAATGCCAGAACTGGCACTCTCTTTTCTCTCATTTTAATTTGATTACATCTGCAAAGATATTAGTCCAATAAGGTGATATCCCAAGGTTCCAAATAGACATGATGGGGGGTGGGGGGAGTTCACACTATTCATCCCAGTACAGGTAGTCAAATGAAAACTAAACTGAATACCAGAAGACCAAAGATCTAACTCTAATGAAGTCTCTAATTCAATGCCAAAATTTGCTAAATTATTTTCATTTGGTCTCTCTTCTCTAAAATTTGAGAAGGGAGCTAGATATTATGTATAGGTCACTTCCAGATGCAAAATTCTTATAATAGATTGAATAATTTTATACTGTCAAATCATCTTGAGTCAGTTCTGTGAAGAGCTCCCCCTGTGTGTAGTCCTACATCATATTGTGTATGAGTAAGAACATCAGGATGGCAAGTATTTATTACAACCTACTAAATTAGAAAAGTTATTTAATTGGAAGATGGCTGCACTCTTGCTGAGACATCCTGGTTGTCATTGCCTCTGAGCCCGCCTTAGTCCTCAACTCTGTATCAGAAATGCTGTTTCTTGGGACGAGCAGTTAGTGTAATGGCTATGTCACTGGACTCCCATGTAGCCAACCATGGTTCGAGTCCCGGACCGGGTGGCTTAAATTCATGCCGGGCACATGTGCGTGTGTGCCCAGGATCCTGAGAGGAGAATGGAGGAGGAGGGATTGCGGTGTGGCCATCCCCCCTGAGGAGGGTGATTTCTCACTTTCTGTCTCTCTGTCTCTCTCTGTCTTTCTGGTGAGTGCGCATGCCCTATAGCAAAAACCTCTCCAAAAAAAGAAAAGAAAAAAAGAAAGAAATGCTGTTCCTTTAGGAACCATGGCCAAAGAACAGATAGAGTGGTTCTGGAATAAGAACACAGGTTCAAGTTGTCCTTTATCTCCCCATAAGACTATTTACAGTTGGTCTCTTCCCATGGCAATGTCTATCTGCCACTGTGGCACTGGTATGGCATTGAGTGCAGGAGTCTCTTTGGCTTGTCAGCTCTGGTGCTCCCTGGGAACTTTGAGTCTTATTTGGAACTCGTGAAGTGCCTGTATCTGGGGCCAGTGCTGATCTACAAAGCTAAGTTTGCACTCACTCGTCTTCCCTCTCATGTATCAAACTTGGAATGGGATTCAGCACTTCATGTGGGACCTAGGAAAAGGCCTGAAGATTTCTCAGCTGTACCAGTTTGGAGCAGTCATCTTGGTGTTTACTGTTTTATCCTCTGTAGGGCTGGCAGCCATGCAAAGAGCTGAAGTTCCCAGCATCATCTGCCTGCAGATTATTGCATTGACCTGCCTTCTTGTTTATCATGTTCCTCTCCAGCCAGGGCAGAGTTCTCTTGACTGTCTAGATCCTTTTGGGCCTGCAGTCCTCCTGGAGCTCAGTAGCTGTAGAGTACACAGCAGAACCGCTATAAGAGAAGAAGATCCAGTTTTCCCCTTGTTTCTAAAGATGAGGTGGCTGCAATACAACCTCCCTTTTCCTGCCCACAGCTTGCAGCCTACTCTGGGCCTGGGAGCCCTTATTCTCTCTCCATATTGGGCCTTAATTTGTGCCAAAGGTCAGTTTTGGCTCCTTCTTCCTGAGACAGTGGCAACAATGCTAGTTCTGTGGCCTCCGCCTTGGGGACTAGGGTGAAGCTCGGTGCCACTGCTGTGGGTTGCTGGTTGAAAGGACATTTCTGTTCATTGGTCAGTGCCCAGGGCCTTTAGCACCCACACAGTGTGACTGTGAAAGGAGAGGTGGGAGTGGAGGGGAATTAGCCTGTTCCAGCTAGAGGGAGATAAAGAGGGTGAGTCAGTTCTTGGAGCAAGTGCTTTGGGGAGGAGCTATGTAGCTTTTGACACAAGTGGAAGATCCAGAAAATTATCATCGAATATACGAAGGGTTATTTCTTTTTCCCTGCATTTCTGGAAAAACAAATTTTAATGTCTTGTTTTCTAACCCAAGTCATGTACCATTTCTTTTTTCTTTCTTTTTTTTTTGGAGAGGTTTTCGCTATAGGGTGCGTGTGCTCGCCAGACAGACAGAGAGAGACAGAGAGACAGAAAGCGAGAAATCACCCCCCCCCAGGGGGGATGGCCACGCTGCAATCCCCTCTCCTCCATTCTCCTCTTGGGATCTTGGGCACGCACACACACGCGCCCAGCGTGAGTTTTAAGCCACCAGGTCCGGGACACGAACTGCTGTCGGCTACGTGGGAGTCCAGCAACATAGCCATTATGCTAACTGCTGGTCCCCATGTACCATTTCTGAAACTGAATTAAAATATTCATTTAAAAAGTTACTTAATTGGTTTTAGGAATTAATTAGTAGCAAGAAACAAACCTATATAGAAAAAAAATTAACAAAAAAACAAAACAGGTATTGAAATGATAGAAAGATGCACTGAATATTGTTGAAAGTTATTCAAGCTGGCCTCCTTGGAACAGTCATCAGAAATTCTCTTTACATTTGTGTCCTTGTCTCTTTCTTCCTGCCTCATTCTCCATCACCGATGATCTCAAACATCACCTCTGCTACGTGGTCTTTGCATTCTACCTATCTCTTGGCTTCTGCCCCTCCCTACCTTCAGTTTTTATGTCACTGCAGCCTAGACTCTAGAAGATGAACAGTTCCAGTATCCCATACTACCTGTGTCCATTAGTTCAAATTCTCAAAAGAAATCCTTTGTTTGGCAGATTTAGATAGTGTACCCATCCCGTACCCATTCATCCATCATTCTACAGCCAGTGTAGTGAGGTCAGAGGGTGAATACAGGGTCATCTGTCTTATTAACGAATACGATCACTTGAGTCTACTCATTCAGCAAAGGTTGTATATGGCAACAAAAGGTCTCAGCTGGGAGACAACAATTAATTAGTCTAGGGTATCATTCAAATACATTTACTGAACTTGACCGATGTGGATAATGGTGGCTGCCTAAATCTGAGTCTCTCTATATGTCTTCAAGCAACAAGAATAAATAAAATTATACAAAAACCATGTCTTCAGTATAACTGGAAGACACAGAATGTCAAGGTTAAATTACCTATAAGTAGAAAGACAAAAGGAAGAAAGACTACAGTGAGCTACTGGAAAAAAGAAATTGAGTGAAAAGTAAAGGAGTCAGCAAAGCAAATAGTAATCTAAAACTAGCATCAGAAAGAAAAATGTCCACTCATTAATTGAAAGTGTGGGGAAGAAAAGATGAAAGTAGAATATGCTCATTGACTACTAAAAAGGCAACAGGTAAAAGTTAAAGGATGTGGTAGTTAAGGCATTGAACTACCACATAGCCAACCACAGTTCAAGTCCCAGATCCGGTGACTTAAAAGTAACACTGGGTGCATGTGTGTGTGTGTGAGTGTCACAAAACCACAAGGAAGAGAATGAAGACAGGATTATAGAGTGGCCACCCTCCCTGAGATGTTATTTCTAACTTCCCCTCTGTCACTTTTTCTCCAGAAATGTGCATGCCCTATGGCAAAAACCTTAATAAAAAAAGTTAACAAAGCATTATTTTGGGGGACTGACAGTTGACATGGTGGTTAAGGGTGCTGGACTCCCACATGGCTGACAGCAGTTTGAGTCCCAGACCTAGTGGCTTGCTTTCTCACTTTCCCTCTCTTTCTCTCTTGCTCTATCCCCACTCTGGTCAAATTAAAATAAAATAAGTAAATAAAGATAATTCAAAGGAAAGTATTTTTTAAAAAGTTTTAATACAAGTATTTAAAAGAATTATTATTAAACCAAAAAGCATTTTTTAAAAAGTTATAGTACAAGTATTTAAAAGAATTATTATTAAACCACTATAAAAAATTAGTAGAAAAACTGGTAATGTTTGAAGTCTATCAATTAGATAATATTGTTGCATCAACATTTATTTCCTGATTTGGATTATCATATCATGGTTATATAAGAGAATGTCCTTGTTTCTAGGAAACATGAACTCAAGTATTTAAGGTTCGAAAGGTATGATAGGCCCAGCTGCAGTAGTGCAGATGATAGGGCACTGCTGTGACAGCCATATGGGAAGTCCAAGTTCAGATCTCAGGTTGCTCTGTACATGCCAGGTGCACCACATGAACCCATGATCTTGGCTAGCTAGGAGCTGGGGGAAAAAAATCGCAGAGTGGCGAGGCTTATCAAGGGGATCTCTTTCTTTAAATAAAACAAGCTTACTTTTTATATTATGCTATTTCCTTGTTCCTGCTCAAGCTACCTTATAAAAACTGAATGTTCTGTCATACCCAACGTAACACTTCTCTATTTTTTTTTTTTTTTAGGATTTTGCCATATGGCGCATGTGCTTGCCTAAGAGAGATAGAGAGGAAAAGGGAGAAATCACCCACCAGAAGGGATGGCCACTCCACAATCTCTTCTCTTCCATTTTCCTCTCAGGATTTTGGGCATGCATGCACATATTCCTGGTTT